TTTCACATGTCACATCTGTGACTGCCAACCTTCTCTGCTGCTGCTACACTTCTCTCACCATGCAAAGTAATTTTCATTTATCATCAAAAGTAGTTCTACCATCTTGGTAGATTCTTTTTTCTTTCTTGTTTTTTTTTTTTTTTAAGAGAACTTTCTACTACTATAGCAAACTTCTAGGAAGTAGATCTGAAGTCTTACATGTACTTGAATATCCCATATTATATATACAGTTGTCAAATAGGGCAGAACTGAAATACTTGAACATTTTCTTCTGCTTTTCCCTAGACTTTATTCCAGCCTCAGACAGGTGCCTATCAGACCCTGGCCAAAGAGTGTGTGGCCCAAGGCTGCTGTGTAGATCTCTTCCTCTTCCCTAATCAGTATGTGGATGTAGCCACCCTCTCTGTTGTGCCCCAGCTCACTGGTGGCTCTGTCTACAAATATGCTTGCTTTCAGGTATGTTGTGGGATTCTGGGTGGCAGGTGGCAGCAGGGCTAGAATTGTCTTCTTACATGTGGACTGGCTCTTTAGCCACTGGCTCATGAATAGGAATAGTGTTGGAAGAGAAGACCCTATAGTGTAAAGAAGTGAGCCTCAAGCAGTTAGGAGCATGGGCCTTGGAACCGGTCCTGGGTTGATACTCTGGCCCTGCCACTTAACTAGCTACACAACCTTGGATAAATTACTTAATTATACCCTTCTTTGTTCCTTCATCTGTAAAATGGGGTTTAACCCTTTGACTGCAGAGTGCTCAGAAATGTGCCAGTTGAGGTGTGCAGTGATTGCAACAACCTTTAGGCTACACATTCTGTTACTGTTTGTTCATTATTGTGAACATGCAACATTTGTAACAGTAAGAACTATTGATCCTTTCTTCTGATTTTTGTAAACCTTTTTGTTTGTACAGGGTGGACATAAAGTTCATAGTAAATTGCACACAACTTTATGTCCACCCTGTATTTGCAAAATGAACAATGCTTACAGACATCATTCACAGCAAATGAACATCTTGTTTGAATGCCTATAGGCACTGGTCACAGTCAAAAGGTTAATGCTTATTAATTAGGATTTGTCAATGGAATTAGAAATTGTACACAAAACACTCAGTGTGGTGCCTGGCATGTAGTGAGTACTTGGAAGCTATCACTGTATAAACCAGGTGCTGTGGCTTGTACCTGTAGAGCTGCCTATTATAGATTGAGACTGAGGTGAGAAGATCACTTAAGCCCAGGAGTTGGAGACTGTAATGAGCTATGATTGTGCTACTGCACTCCAGCCTGGGTGACACAGAAAGACCCTGTCTCTTTAAAAAAAAAAAGTTATCATTGTCATCAACATCATCATTATCATCTTCACTGTTATCATTATGATTAAGCAGCCTCATAGAGAAGAAGGATACAGGGAGATTATCTGTAGGATGAACTACATAGTCAGTGATGTGACTATGGGCCTGGGTGGCTATAGGTGGAGAATGACCAGGAGCGGTTCCTGAGTGACCTGCGGCGTGATGTCCAGAAGGTTGTTGGCTTTGATGCTGTGATGCGAGTCCGGACGAGCACCGGTCAGTCCTGGTTGCAGAAGAGCAGGTGGGGGGCTAAGTCTAGGAGGGAGGCATGTGGCACCTGTTATACCTTTAGTCCTGACCCTATCCATGTGGCCTTAGGTATTCGTGCTGTAGATTTCTTTGGAGCTTTCTACATGAGCAACACAACAGATGTGGAGCTGGCTGGGCTGGATGGGGACAAGACAGTGACTGTGGAGTTCAAGCATGATGATCGGCTCAATGAAGAGAGTGGAGCCCTCCTGCAGGTGGCAGAGCGGGAGGCAGGGGCTGGGAAGGAAGTGTTAGGTGTCATTTGCAGGGTATAAGTAGGCTGCAGGGAAGAGGGTGAGAAATGGAAGAGAGGAGTGGAAGAAGAGACTAGATGTGGGGTGGCTCATTTCTTTCTTCTATTAATAGTTTATAATAGTCAAGGGTAGTTTTTCCAAGGGCCTTTGTGAGGTAGGGGTGTGAGTTCCCCTTTCTCCTTTTCTCTAGTGTGCCCTGCTTTATACCAGTTGTGCAGGGCAGCGTCGGCTCCGAATCCATAACCTGGCTCTAAACTGCTGCACCCAGCTGGCTGATCTGTATCGCAACTGTGAAACTGACACACTCATCAACTACATGGCCAAGTTTGGTGAGGGCAGAGGCAGGGCAGGGTGGGACTGAAGCTGAGGGAAAGGTCCAGGACGGTCAGTGATTCAGCATACCTGGGTAGGTCTGATGGTGGGAAGGCATCTGACTAGTGACTGTGTATCTCCCTTTTCCATCTAGCATACCGGGGAGTCCTGAACAGCCCTGTGAAGGCTGTTCGTGACACTCTGATCAGCCAGTGTGCCCAGATCCTGGCCTGTTATAGAAAGAACTGTGCCAGCCCCTCCTCTGCAGGACAGGTAGGGCAAGCTTATTGGAGCAGGGGGACATTGGGACAAATTTTTGCATTTGGGAGGGATTTCTCATGATCATCAACTTTATTTTGATAATCCTGCAGTTGATCCTTCCTGAGTGCATGAAGTTACTTCCAGTTTACCTGAATTGTGTGTTGAAGAGTGATGTCCTACAGCCTGGAGCTGAAGTCACTACTGATGATCGTGCCTATGTCCGACAGCTAGTTACCTCCATGGATGTGGCTGAAACCAACGTCTTCTTCTATCCTCGGCTCCTACCCTTGGTGCGATTGAGGGTTGGAGTATGAGATGTCGCACAGAGAAGAGGGTCTTTTAGAAGGATGATGGGAAGGGTTAATATTACCTGTTTCTGACACTCATGAATTTGTTTTATATGTACATTTTCTGATGTAATTCTAACATTGAGAAAGTTAGTGAGACCCCAGAAGGCATGGTGTCTGGGGACTCAGCTTTCTGAATTTTGTGTGTGGTGGGGGGCAAACTTGTCTTATGGTCCTTGGTAACTTTTAGCCCCCTTCCTTTTGTCTAGACAAAGTCTCCCATTGAGGGTACTACTGAACCACCAGCAGTTCGAGCATCTGAAGAACGTCTAAGCAACGGGGATATTTATTTGCTGGAGAATGGACTCAACCTCTTCCTCTGGGTGGGAGCAAGTGTCCAACAGGGTGTTGTCCAGAGCCTTTTCAGCGTCTCTTCCTTCAGTCAGATCACCAGTGGCTTGGTGAGGGCAAGGAGTCAAGGAGAATATGGGTGTGGAAGTACATTTTGTGAAATGAGTGGGAACCAACAAAATTCATGTGCTACTCTTCTTAAACGTCAGGGAACACCTGGGGAGAAGGGAGGGTGCTGCTATTCTTCCGAGGCTTCCTTGATTCAGCTGATGCATAAATCTGTACTGTCTCATCTTAACTGAACTCAGACCACCTTACCATAAGTATTAATGAATTTTGTGTTCTAGAGCGTTCTGCCAGTTCTGGATAATCCGCTTTCCAAGAAGGTTCGAGGCCTCATTGATAGCTTAAGGGCACAGAGATCACGGTACATGAAGGTAACACTGATTTTTACTCTGGATTTTGTACCTTGACGAGTCCTCACCTGGATAGTGGTGGGGGTAGGGAATGAATAAGTGATTGGGTAATAGGACTTCTGGGCATGTTTAGTTTCCTTTGGCCTTGCCTTATGACTGTGTATTCTGGCCATAGCTTATCGTGGTGAAACAGGAGGACAAGCTGGAGATGCTGTTCAAGCACTTCCTGGTGGAAGACAAGAGCCTGAGTGGGGGAGCATCCTATGTGGACTTTCTCTGTCATATGCACAAGGAGATTCGGCAGCTACTGAGCTAAGGCAAATGGGTAAATGGCATAGGGTCCCAGGCCAGCTTCCAGAAAGTACCCCAGGATGACAGAGAAATTGGGATAGTTCCATATCTTATAAGTCATGTAAGCTGACCTCAGTCTCTTTGGGGGAGGGGGAGACATAGGAGACACCTTCTTTCTGGGCTCAAGTATCTTACCACTCTGTCATGTCCTGCTGTTGGAAGGTGTCCCTGTCCCCTCACTCTACCCTTCTTTTCCTGCTAATCCTGTCGTAATGAATGTAGTTTCTCAGTTCACTGTATATGATTCGGTGTTGAGGGTTTGGAGGCACCTAGACCCTGGCAATATTATATGTCCCTTTGGACCAGCCTCCAAGAGGAGAGCAGCAGGCAGGAAAGAGTGGGGATCCCAGGGTTTCTACAGGGTGTGGCTTATTAAGCTCAGTGTCATCAACAACTTCCTATATTAGGGATAAAACATACTGGTGCACAAGAGCTCGAGTATAGACCATAAGTGGTGAAAAGTGGTCAGTCTTTCTTGGGCCTGGAGGTCAGCAGTTAAGTCAGTCAATGAGGGGGTTGTTCCTCTCTCTGCTTCCACTGCACTCGCTCTCTTCTCCTGCAATGATTGATCACTCCGTGGATAGAGACACAATGTCAGAGATGAATGAGCCTGGGAACTGAGTCGCAAAGTATATTAAGACCTGGGAGAGATACCAGCCTCCTTTCCCACGGGAGAGGCCCCAACACTGGATGGTTCTGTAGGGAGCCTGGTCACCAACTTGCAATACCTCACAGAGCCAGCTCATATCCCACTCTGAGCTCCCACTGACTGCTTCTCCAAGCCGGGGGTTGTTGGGGAGATAGGCAGAGGCAGGTGAAGCTCTCTGTTCTCTCCCATCGGGATACCATTTGGGCTTCGGGCTTCGGTATTGACTTGAGTGGCTGACAGTTATCTTCCAACCCCAAATGGCTGGGGCAGGACAAGGGCTAGGCTTGATGGTGGGCAGGCTTGCCTGCTCCCAGCCGGGGATGCCCTTGCTCTGGACCTCTCATTTCTCTTCATTGGTTTATTTTTCAATGCATCTTTAATTTGTAAAGAAATAAATTAAGATGTAACCAGTAGCCTCATCGTTAATTTCGAAGTCTGGCTTTCCCGTTAAGACGACCCGCCGGCTAAGCGGAGCTGCGCATGCGGC